ATATATATATATATATATATATATATATATTATATATATATATATATATATATATATATATAAATTTAGAAACAGAGTATATTGTTTATTAAAAATTAATTATTTTATTTTAGGTCAAACAACCATATCTCTTGAAATGGTTCGTAAACCTAAATCCAAAAATCTAGACTGTAAACCAGGATGGAAATTTTGTCGCTCATGTATTCAGTTTTTGTCAAATTTTGATGAAGTTTCTGATAACGAAATTGGAGTCTCGCCAATTAAAGTCCATGGAGTTGCAAAGCATCAACGAGTTGTAAAAAACAAAAAAAAATTAGTCAAAGCCTACACAAAAATGGAAGAAGGAGTAGCAAGTGCTTATAGAGTAAATATAGATAACTTAAATGTAGCCTTAACTTTTTCCAGTCATCCTACAGATAAAAAAAAAGCAAATGATCTTGATCATTTGACAACTTAAATGAAATAAAAACTTCAAGCTGAACCATGTTAAAAAAAAATTCAAATATTAACACCTACACCTGAATCTTGGTCTAAAAAATACGCTTCAAAATATTTTGAAGTTTCTGAACATCTTATACGACGTGCTAGGAAACTTAAAAGCGAAAATGGAATTCTTGCTATACCTGATAAGAGAATAGGCCAAAAAATACCTGACTTTCTTACAGCTTTGGTTCAAGATTTTTTTCAACAAGATGAACATTCTAGAATAATGCCTGGTAAAAAAGATTGTGTTGAGGTTAAAAGTGGTCCTCTACAACAAAAAAGATTATTGTTGTGCAACCTTCATGAGCTTTATATTGATTTTAAAAGTAAATACCCTAATTTTAAAATAGGATTTTTAAAGTTTTGTAATTTGCGTCCAAAATAGTGTATTAGTGTGAGACCAAATGGTACACACTGTGTATGTGTTTGTATTTACCATCAAAACTCAATATTGCTTGTAAATGCTGTTCAATGGAATGTTACATACAAAGATTTAATGTTAAAATTAGTATGTGATACAAGCAATAATGAATGCATGGTTCATAGATGTGCTAAATGTCCAGGTTATGATAACTTAAAGGCATTTTTAGATGAGGAATCAATTGAGATTGATGAAGAAGAAATTCAATTTAATCAATGGCAAAGTACTGATAGATCACAATTAATTACTCAGACAGTTAACTTACTTGAATATAAAGAACTAGTTGTTTCTCGCATTAATCATTTAACTTCACATTCATATATTGCTAAATGCCAAACTCGCTATTTGAAAGAGCTAAAAAATAATTTAAGTTACAATAAATGTATTATACAGGCAGATTTTGCAGAGAACTATCAATTTGTTATACAGGATGAAATATAAAGTTATCATTGGAATAAACAACAATGTACACTTCATCCTGCTGTTATATATTTTAAGGAATTTTCTAAAACAAATATTCAGCATAAGTCATTCTGTTTTTTAAGTGATGACAATGATCATGATACATTTTTTTTTTTTTTTTTTTTTTAAATATCTTCTCTTCCAACAAGGTTGCAAGCAACCACTTATTAGTGTTGGAAGTTACTGGAAGAGAAAAAACACATGCTTTGTGTATGAATTTCAAAAGAAAATTGTAGAGTACATTAAAGAATATTTAATTGGTATCAATAAAATTTATTATTTTTCTGATGGATGTTCTGCTCATTATAAAAACTATAAAAACTTTATAAATCTATGCCACGATAAGGAAGATTTCGAGATTACAGCTGAATGTGTATTTTTTGCAACCAGCCATGGAAAATCCACTTGTGCAGCATAAGTGGTACCATTAAAAGAATAATAGAAAGAGCAAGTTTGCTAAGGCCATTGGAAAACCAAATATTGACAGTTGATGATATGCTTGAGTTTCACCCATAAAAACACAATTATATTTTATAAAATTACCAAAGAAATAAGTATTGCAAGGCAACAGCAACTAAAGGAGCGATTTAAAACAGGAAAAACTGTTCCAGGTACCAGAAGTTATCATCATTACATACCCATTTCAAAATTTGAAATTAGTTTTAAAAGAACAAGCGAACATCATTGTGTTGACAGATTTAAACTCTCAAAAGCAGTAATTTCTGATGTAATAATTGTACCAAGTCTAAATGATTTTGTTGCATGCAAGTACGATTTCTTTTGGTGGATAGGCATGGTTACAGAAATAGATATTACTACAATCGATATTCAAATTAAGTTTATGCACCCTCATGATCCTTCTCAAAACTTCATTTGGCCACAGAGAGATGATACCTGTTGGGTACCATTGTCGAGTTTGATTTCAGTAATCAAAGTCCCAACAACAAAATCAGGGCAAACATATAACACTGATGTGAATGATTATAACACAATAACTAATGAATTTTAATTTTTTGTGTTTTTAATTTTAAACTTTGTATATTACCTATGTTTCTTGAAATCCTTTTCAAGTGCTCTATTTGTTTTGGAGTCTTTGTTTTTTAAGTTTATTAAATGAAGCTTGATAAATATGAAACTAATGTTTTATAAGTAATAAATTTAAGTATATTTGAAGATGTTTTTATTTCTGATTTAGGACAGCAATCTGATTGTTTGTAATAACTCCAACAAGCATTTATATAATTCTGTCCCTTTGAAATTAAAATTTTTTAAGATCAGATTCTACAAAATTACAAAGAAAACAGAAACAGCTAGTCAACAACAAAAGAACAGTTTGATGTAGCCAAAACTGTTTCAGTTACAAAACTGTCAAATTACTTTTTTTTTTCTTCTTTAATTTATCAAAATACCTGTTTTTTAAGCAATAAATTTAAGTAGATTTGACCATTCTCCAATTCTTTGTAATAAAGACCTCTCTCCAATTCTTTGTAACAACTATAACTTAACTATGCAGGAAAACTTCTTTAAAAAAAATCGAGCTACATCGGCATTTTTGCGATTGGAATCGCCCCAGTAAAATTGTGGTAAACATTTAAATTTTAGGTGTTATGTTTGTTTTTAAATATTTTAAGTTGTTTCATTAGATTTGTCAGCCCATGTAAAGGTACAAACATTCAGCTTTCCAACACACATATAAGAGAAACTAGGACCAAAACCATTTTTAAAAATGGCGGATTTTTGTTGGTTGGAGGCAAACTTAAAACAGCTATATCTTAGGAACAGATTGAAATTAGATGATAAAATTTTAAGAGCTTTAAAAATCAGCAAAGTCTGAGACTTAGGGTTGCATGCCTTGGATGTTTTCACATGGAATCGCCCTATACTGTGTATGTATGTGAGTGTGTTATATATATATATATATATATATATATATATATATATATATATATATATATATATATATATATATATATATATTTCTTTTATCTTGTAGTCGAAAGTGACTTTTATAGTTTTATGGTAAAAAAAGAATTAACAAAAATTTCACGACTTCATTAGTTAAGCTACATTTTATTGTTGTTGAAAATTAAATTAATGCAGAAGTACATTAAGTTTTATGGTCATTCTCTCAAGTCGCTGCATGGAGAAACAAACTGAATGCGGATATTGTGAGGTAAAATAAAAAACTTAATAAAAAAAGAATAAAATAAAAAAAAAAAATTTTAATAGAATTTAAGTATGAATTTTTAAAATTTTCCATATGAAAGGTTAGTGTCAATTTTTAGGATTACTCTGTTGCGAAAGCATTGATTAAATTAAAAAAAGGTCATTTCTTCTCTTAGAACATATTTATTCTTTTTGGTTTCATTTGCTTTCAGTAAACTATTTGCTATTTAGTAACTATTTGCTTTCAGTAGCAAATGATTTTATTTTTAATTTTCATAAACGATATAACCTCGCGTATTGAGGGGGATTGTGGAATCAAGCTTTTTGCAGACGACAGCAAGTTGTATCAAGCAAGAAAAGATGGAAATAATATCAACCTTGTAAATACTTTAAAGAGAGTTTCAGAATGGTCAAATAATTCTCAACTCAATATATCTACCAAAAAATGTTTTCACCTGCGATACAGAAAAAATCAATTACCAGAACATTCATACTTATTGGATATTGACATGCCTATCGAATCAATTGATTCAATCCAAGATATTGGGATATCAATTTCTTCCGATATGAAATTTTCTAAACACTGTTCTCACATTGCTAGCAAAGCAAGTTCTTGTGCTTACTTACTCTTAAAGTCTTTCATCAGTAATGATTCCTAACTTTTGATAAGAGCCTATAAAGTTTATATTCGACCAATTTTAGAGTCATGTACCCCTGTGTGGAATTCGTATCTCCTAAAAGATATTGTCGGGTAGAAAAGGTTCAGAAATATTATACAAGAATTATCTGCAAACGGTGTTGTATTCCATATAAAGCTTCAAGATGCTTTTAAGATTCCTTATGCTTCAAGACTTGATATCTTCAATTGCTTCAAGATTCCTTATGCTTCAAGACTTGATATCTTCAATCTTAAATGCCGGAGAATAAAATTTGATCTTTTAATGACTTATAAGATTATGCACAACTTAGTTGATTTGCCTTTTTCTGAGTTTTTTACTCTCGCTCCTACTCATTATTCAACTAGATGTCATTCCCAAAAATTAACATCACGTAATCTAAATAAATTAAATAAAAATACAAAAAGGTATCACCTTTTTGTATTTTTATTTAAATCCAAATAAATTGAAATCATAATAAAAACTTTTTGCTTTCAGTAATCTTATTAAAATCTTTACCTGTTTAAAGTTTTTATTTTAATAAAAATTAAAACAAAATGTTTTTATTTCATAAATTATAAACAAATGTAATCTATTTTGAAAAAGGTTGCAAAATTTGACAATACAGAAACAAAGAAAAATATATATTTTAATGGAATTTTTTTTACAAAATTTTTCTTATTTTCCGTCTGTATGACAGTTATAACGATACTATAAATGTATATAAAAACATCAATCAAAATATTGTCAGAGATGTTTGTCAGAGATGTTTGTCAGAGATGTTTGGGATTTTTAAAAGATGATCAATAATGACTTTTTTTTTAGATTGAGAAAAATTCTCATTAATTTTTATTTTACCTGGAATAAGAAACACAACATCCATTAATGATCTCCACATGTTGTTTAAAGCAAGACAAATCTCACTATTGGTTGCTGTAAATGACTAAAAATCATTAAACAATTTCATTTAATATTTCCAAAAAGTATTTAAAAATCTCTAACATACCGAAAAAAAAATTTTTTATCATAGAGTTATATATATAAGTTACTAAAGTTTACCTTCTCAGCAATCTTTAGCAGAGGATTTAATACAGTTACTCGGTTCAATTCAAAGAAATGCTAATATTCACCAAGAACAAATAAAAATTAACAGAATGTTGAAAAAATCATGACCAGAATAAAACAAGAAAAAAAAAAAACCACAAGTAAAAATATAATTATAATTATGGTAATTATGTAACTATAATTATGGTATGTTTTTGCTACAACAATAAGATTGTAAAAAGCTCACAGTTCCCAATAAACGAAGCACACATGCCCATGTATTTAAAACATGAACCGGACAAGAACCTTTTTCAAAAGAAGCTTTTAAAGACTCTGATAGATCCTAAACAGAAAATGTTAATTACAACTTTTCATTTTTCTTATTCAGCTTGGTCGTTGTTAACAACCAATTTAACAGAAATGAAAATTAATTACAGACAACCAATATAAATTTTAATTAAAAATGTTAATTAGAATTAATACAAATATGCTTTAAAAACAAGCACTTGAAAAGAAAAAAAAAATTATAATAAATTGACATGATAAATTGTATTTAAGTAAAAATAATTTTTAGAATTTGCATAAACTACTAACCACTAAACTCCTGAAAATAATTTTTTAGTATATTACACTATTTAAAAATAACTGAAAAATATAAAATTTATGAAAGAATACTTATCCAACTTACTCCATTATTTAACTGTTCTAATAAAAAAGAATTCAAATAGCTTTGCTGGCTCAAGAGTAAACCCATTGAAGTTTCAATAAGCTCAAGACAACAGTCACGTATCTAGATATGAAATTGGAAAACTTTTTAAACATCATCATAATCATCATCATCATCATCATCATCATCATCATCATCACCATCACCATCACCATCACCATCACCATCATCATCATCATCATCATCATCATCATCATCATCGTCATCATCATCAACTGTTTTATTCCAGAGAGTCTGTATGCCTCTATTTTTGCTGAAATAAATATGAAAAATGTTTTGTATTTCTTATCTTGGTCTGTATTAAAGATGACATTTTTTATATTTATTTTAGCAAAAATAGGGACATAGTGTTAGTTATTAGTATGTAAAGAATTTTTGCTTTTAAGTCTTTTTAGACAAAGATTTTGGAATACACAAGGAGTTAAATTTTCTTTATATTTGAACATATAAATTTAAATATATTTAGTTAGTAAATATTTGAGGCTTTAATTTCTTTTAGAAATAGCTTAGAATGCTTAATAATCACAAAATCAAGTTGAATTGTTTTTTTTAAAACCCAATTTATTTATTGGGTTTAAATTATTTATTGTTAACAAGAAATAAATAGTCAAACATACTTTCTGTAACTTTAGATAAAAACAGAAAAAATAGGGTGTTAGGGGTTATCTTTGCTATTTCTAGACTTCCAGTCTTGAAGATAAGTTATCTTTGCTGGAAATGATGGGATGCACTAAATATTTTTATTAAAATATAAAGAATCCTATTAATAATTTTTTTCTTTATTGGATTAGTTTTTTCCAATATTCTTTTGCAAAAAAAAAATTACAAAAACTTTCAATCCTTTCAGTTGGTGGTTTATAGCAACAGCTTATTAGCAGATTTTTTTATTACTTGTTGATCAGTTTAATTATTAAAATCTTATTATTTACATCAGACTCATACCAATTAAAATGTATACAAAAGATTATTTTTTACAGAAAAAAAAACTTGTTCATAATAGTGTTCATAAACATGTTCATAATAGTGGGACTGTAAAATGATTGAATTAAAAAATTTTAAAAAACTGTATTTTTAAAAACTATATTTTCACTTTCCTTTCCAAGATTCTTCATCATTTGCAGATAAATCTTAGATTAACTGGCATAGAAGAACATCTTCATATGCCTGTGAATCTTTGATTATTTGTGTGACTAAAATATTTAAGCTTAGCTAGTTTGCTATTTATACAAATTTTTTTCGAATCATTTTTGGTTACATGATTTTCTGCTTTTTTAATTTCAGCTAATTATATTAGGATGCTTCATATCACTTATAAATTTAATGGATTGCTCAATAAATTCATTTTTTCAAGTTTTACTTTTATGCACTAAGCATAATTGTTTTCAATTTTGTCATGAAAAACCTTAATAACTTTGTTTCAAGAAGTTGAATTTCAAGAAGTTGATTTTTTATGCCATAGTAAAATTTTTGGACATATTTAAAAGTATTTTTTTTACTGCAAAAAAAATTAATTCCTATATATTCCGAGTCCTAATTCAAAAAATGGTAATCCCAATTTTTAAAAATGTTTATTTTGACATTTTTTCAAAAAAATTTAATCATTAGATAAAAGAGTTAGTACACAGAGATTAAGTAATGTTTAATTTGGCATAAATAAATTTACCAGCACTTTATCACTACAATATTACCATATACTATTTCATCAAATAATTTCAGTATTCAAAGTTATATAAGTTGAAAAAAAAAAAATTATTAAAAGGAACCTTTTTTTACATCAAATAATAATAGAGAGTTGTCATTTAGACACAAAAAATAAAACACGCAAATAAATTTTATTATAAAGTGTTTAAATACTCAAATAGGATGACCTATTCTTTATATTAAAGATTTTTATTCCTATAAAAAATTTAAGGATATTTTTAGTGTATATTTTTGTTCAACAAAATATTAACGTATTTAACAAAATATTAACGTATAGGTATTTAACAATAAGTAATTCACAATAATGTTTCTATCAATTATTTAATATTTTGAAAATATATTTATCTTTCAGATAAATTATGTCATCAGTTTGGAAATTTGCTGTCCAACATAAAATTCTAAATTCAAGAAATGTTGAAGGCGCCTGTAATAGATGCAGTTCTGTTGTAACATGCTTCGGTGGATCCACAACTACTTTGCAGAATCATATTTTGCAATAAAAATAAGTCATTATAAGTTTTATTTCAAAATATAAACATAATGTTAGCACACTTTGTTTAAAAACTTTTCTAATGCAAGTTAAACTAAGTTAAATTTATTTATAAGTTTTATTATTTAACAAAAAAAAACCAAAGACCATGGTTATTCGCGGGTTTATTAATTACCTTTGGAACTTCACTTAGCACATAAAGAAAAAGTTCAATAAACCAAATCTTAGCCAACTTTTCCATTTCACTTGGACACTGTTCACAAAACCTAAAAACAAAAACAAATAACTAAATAACATTCATATTGATTATATGTTTCTTTCTTATTGTACAATTTTGTAGATTTTTTACTTAAAAATAGTTGCAATTAAAATATGTAGACAAAAAAAGGAACTTGGATTCACATTATGAATTCTTTTAAATTTACTCAAAATAAGTTTTAAGTAATTTAAATTTAGGCTTAAAAAGAAATAAAAAGAAAAAGCAATCAAATAATGCCTTTAAAAAAACTAAAATTCTAACCGTCTCATAGTTTGCAATCCCTCACAAATAATCAGTTCAGACTTTTGATTTTTGTTTGATGAAAGCTTGATGAATTGATGCACAACTATAGAAACCTAAAAAAAAAAAATTTAATATAAAATTTTACATGTAGGACTGTGAAGTTGTCTTTAAAACACAAAAGCTGTCAATCTCATGGTTCCTTGCTTTAAAAAAGAAAAACAGATTTGCATCAAGAGATTAATTTAAGAAAATTATGAGAATGACAAACTAGCTTATTTTGTAGTTACATTTAATGGAAAAAAATCTATTGTAAGATCTTTTAAATGTAACTACAATATTTTCTTTTAATCCAATTGCAGCCAATAATATTTAATTAATGGCTGCAAACGGATTCAAGGAAAACATTGAGTTCAACGAAACCTTTATCATTCCAGATCTAACTTATGCAATAACTTATGCTTATTCCAGATCTAACTTATGCAATAACTTATTTTTATTCCAGATCTAACTTATGCTGAAAGATACAAGACTTAACTATTAAAAACAAATTTTAAGTAACAAAATTTAATTTGAAATTTGAAATGATAAAATTATTAAGTCAAAGAAACAGCAGTTTTTAAAAACAAATGCACAGAATAACATAATTAGGGCTAATTATAATGAACGAGTATTAGATAAAAATATCATAAAATGATTTCTCAATGTATGATTAACTAAGTAATGGCACAAAAAGTAGAACTTGCATTTGTGCTGAGTATACCTTCTTTTGAGATAAACTGTAATAATTTGACAAATAAGAATGTAGAACAGATTTGATGTCAGGCTTGGTCGGGAAGCGGGAGCGATCGCTCTCGATTGCTGACCACGTAAATAATATTTAGTTGCGAAAAGCTGGCCAGATTTTTTAGTCATTTTGAGAACATTTTAAAAAGCAAAAAAAAAAAAAGCGACGAAGATTAATTGGACCGACGAGAGACAATTACAAAAAAAAAAAAGTAGGCAAATAAAATATCTTTAAACGCGAAAAAATTTAAAGCTAAATAAATTACATTTAAAACAAATATTTTCGAAACATCGCTCTTTTATAATTTTTTTTATAAAATTAAGCAATGTTTTTTATAGAAACATCAACTTGTTATAGAAACATACAACCGTCAACTTAAAAGATTGTTTAAAAGGAAAACAAATATTCTTTATTTAACTAAGTTTGCAAGTTTTAGTTTTACTTAAGCTTAATTTATTTTATAAATAAAAAAGTTAATTTTTTCAATACCTATTTTATGTTTCGCGTAGTTTGAAAAGTTTAACATATTTAAAGCGATTCTTCTTAGTAAGATAAACAAATGAAATAATTAGATCATTGAATTACTATAAGAATTAAATTATCAAGATAGAAATCAACTAAAAAGGTTTAAAATACTTAATGACCAGGAAGCGAAACTGCTTCACAATATCGCTGATGATGTTTAGTGAGTGGGCTTTTAAATTTTAATTAGTGTTTAAAGCAGAAAAAAGGATAACGAGTTTTAAGAATGGCAACTTAAGCAAAAATAATTAGAGTTAGTAAATCAATATCTAGAAATTTTTCTTTATATCTAATTATTTGCTATATATATTTGTGTTCTGTCGTGACCTCTGGCGCGATGCTTGTTCATCCGCGAGTTACTTTGTATACGTTGTTTGTGTTTAGTAACCAGAAACTTCTTATATGTTTGTTACATATTTAGTTTTATTAACTTTAACGATTAAAACTTCATTAAAAACACAATTATTTTTGCAAGTCTTTGTTTAAATCATAAAAATTGCTTTAAAAGATACATTACGATAAAAAATAAATACACAAAATTACATTTACTTAAAGAATACAATCTCTTTTAAAATAAAAAATAAGAATATACTAATAAAATCTATGATTTATAATAAACTTTGAAAATTTTAACAATTTAACTAATATATATTTAAAACATTTATTTTTTGAAACAAATAATATAAATTCTTAAAACAATGCTAAAAATCTCAAAAAGGAACAAATCGTGAATAATACAATTTCTAAAACATTTTAACAGAATACTCTAGAACTTTATTTCACTTAATCAGCGTATTTTTTGAACCAATAGAATTAGTTTGTTCGTTAATTTGGCGGGTTTTTAGTGTTCGCAAACATTCTTTTTATTCTTTCGCACAAAGATGTTTTGAGAACATTCAAGTTTTTTATGTTTCCATGTATGTCCGTAAAACAAAAATTTTTTGTTTCGTACATAAACTTAAATGTTCTCAAAACGACTAAAAAACCTGGCCAGTTTTACGCAACTAAATATAATTTCCGTGGTCAGTATTCGAGAGCGATCGCTCCCGCTTCCCGACCAAGCCTGTGATGTTCAATTAAAATTAGAGATGAACATGTACTATGTAATTGTATATACAGAAATGGAAATGTGAATATGGAATAGAGAATTACCAAAAAATAAAAATTCTTCTAACATAAAAGAAGTAACATTTTATAATTGTATTTGGCAACTTTCTATACAAGAATGTAATTCAGCCAACATTTCAATTAGAGGACTCTAAAGAAATAAGTATTCTGGATTTAATATTAGCAGCAACTATATTTCATATTTCAAACCTAATAATAAACCACACTGAACCTCTAAATATGTGAATAAAAAGTCATAATATAATATTAAATATTTAAATTGGAATTATAAATCTTAAGCAATGCTACTATAAACATTTTTTATATAAAAAAAGAATAAAAATTTATGATTATTAGTCTCAAAGGTATTTACCAATTTACCCAGTAAACTCAAACAAAAGAAAATTATTATGGATAACTCATGAATTAAAACACCAAATCAAAATAAAAATAAAAATGCTGTAGATAAAAAATAAAAATAAAATAAAATCAAAATGGTCAAAAAACTAAAGCCACCATGAATACAAAATAGCAAATAAATGAAAAAGAAATCTAAAACAAATACATTCCTTTATTAACAGCAAGTGCACATTTAAAGATCATATAAAAACTTTATTAACAGCAAAATGACAACCAATAACAACGTTATAGTTAACCATTTGAATGCATTTTTCAGTTTTCACTATTAAAAATAAGAACAATGTTCTAAAATGTAAAACAACCAATCCTAAAACAAGTGCTTTACCTAAAATTGGATATCAGCTTAAATTACTCCATTATTTAAAAAAGGTGACACCTTAAAACTCTGGGAATTATAGGGCAATTTTATCAGAGTTTGTCTAAAAAATAAGTATTATTAAAAAATAATGATAATGAACCTATTTAATAATAAATTAATAATCAACAAACTACATAAAAAATTTACATGAAAATATAGAATTTAACCTCTGACTTTGAAAAAAAGATTTTGAAAAATGATCACATCTTAATCTTAATTAAAACACACGATAGTTACAATAGATCATATCAGTTACGATATCAGTTACAATATAGATATATCATATCAGTTACAGTATAGATAGATCATATCAGTTATAATATCATATCAGATTCGATATAGATATATCATATCAGTTACGATATAGATAGATCATATCAGTTGCGATATAGATATATCATATCAGTTACAGTATAGATATATCATATCAGTTACAATATAAATCATATCAGTTATAATATAGATAAATCATATCATTTACGATATAAATAGATATCATATCGATAGATACAGTAGTATACCCAATATCTACAGATGTTCAAGCCTAACATAAGCAGATGTTCAAGTCCAACATCAATAAATGTTAAAGTTTAACATCTACAGATCTTGAAATTTCAAGAATACAGTATTTATATAGATTTTATATTATACATTGTTTATATTTATATTATACAGACTCTATATCTTGAAATTTCAAGAATACAGTATTTACCTATAAAGAAAAATTAACACTAACCCTATTAAATTCTTTATTATATATATTATCGTAGATGCATACAAATTTAAAATAAATATCAAACAAAAATATTAAATATACATTTTAAAAAAGCAATTTTAAATAAAAATATCACCATACATATTCTTGAATACTATCAGCAGATATACGTTGATTGGTAAAACACCACAATGTTCTTATACAAACTGATTTATTTTCTTGTGATTCAAGGTTAGAACAAAGTACTAAAATAAATGTAGATTTATATATAAAAAAACTCATAACAACTGGGCAACCAAAGGTTTTTTTTTTGTAAAAATGATTGGGGGTTGTAAAATTCTGTAACAAAATCACTATTGTTTATCTATATTTTCTTGCTGTATATGTAAACAATCAAATATTTGCAACATTAGTTGAATTTTAAAGACAATTATAATTATTAAAGACAATTATATGTGTGAAAATTTTAGTTTAGCAAAAAAACATTTGAAAAACAAATTTAAAAATTGTTTTTCAAATGTTTCTAGCACAAAATTATAAAGTATTTCCTTAATATAATGACTGAAAAAAGTTGCGAAAAAATTGTATAACAGAAAATATTTTTATTTCTGTTATATTCTTATCTACTTTTTTCCTTGACTTGCATCAGTTTTGGTAGTGGAAAATAACAAACGCCCTAAAAATATGAAAACAAAAACAGTAAAATATTTAGGTATATTATTTTTTTGCCAACAATTTTATTTTTTTATCATATCATTTTTTTAGCTTATTTCATTTAGATTTTCTATTTCGTATAGTTTTTAATTCTTTTCTTTGAGTATTGTTGTTTTATTGTCTATAGTTTCTTATAGCTTTAATTTGCCGCAAGATCTTAAAACGCTTACTGTATAAAGAGGTGGCCAAGTTATCTTTAAGCCTGGACAAAAATAAGCCTGGACGAACAAGGTGTGCCTGCGCTTCCTAGGAGGGCTTGTGTATACATGAATTGCTATTTTTTAAAGTTCTGAGAATATAATTGAAAAAAATCAATAAAGTTTTTATTTGGATAATTCTTTACCCTATTTAACTTTAAAATAATATTAAATCCTTAAACCATTATGAAAAACTTAGTTATGAAAATAAATAGATAGAAACACAAAACAAACCTTGAAGAGTCTTTGCAATAACTTTTACATCAGAATTTCTAAATATAATAAACATTACTTTATAGATTTGAACTTTTTAAATTATATATATATATATATATATATATATATATATATATATATATATATATATATATATATATATATATATATCAGGCTTGGACAGGAATGGCATGGGATCGCACGCTTTAATTGACCACGCTTATAATAATTTTTCTTTACAATTTGACCACGGTGGTTTTGATGTTTTAACAATTTAAATGCTATAAAAAAATTATTACATTATAACTTTTTATTATTGATCTTTTCTAAAGTTTTTATTTAACGCGAAGGCTTTGAATAAAATAAAAATTAATTATGATTGTTTAAAATAAATGCATTTTTAGAAAGTCAAATTTTTTAAGTTACTTTTAATTATAAATAAGTTAAATTAAATCTTTGGTTGCAATGGAATGATTTAATTGGTTAACTTTTATGTTTCTATTTTTACAAGGAATTGTTTAAAACTGTTAAAATTGTTTAAAATTGTGTTTTTTTAAATTGACTAAATAATCAAAGAAATGACTAAAAATTACTAATTTAAATAGACTTCACTATTTTTTTAAACAATTTTTTTTTTTGCAACTTTTAAAAAAAAAAATGTTTGTACAATTAAAAATTATCTATAACACTTTTAGTAATTTAAATAAAATTTGTTCATTTAATAAATGATAAAAAAATTTTTTAATTACTAAAAGTAATTTAAACAAACCAATCTTTAGAAGTAATTTGTAAAAGCATTTTGCATAACTTTAATAAAACATTTCAAAAGATAAATTTTTTAATAATTTTTTTAAACATAACTAAAAAATAACAAAATGTAACTTTCACTTCAAGATTGAGTTTTTTTGAGTTTTATTTTGGTGCTTATATATTTTCTTTTTTCTTTACTTTTTTTTAATTCTCTTCCTTGTTTAATTTAGCTAGCATTTCTTTTTTCAGCGCATTTCTAAAATATTTAAAAATCATATAAGCATCTAAACAGTGGTGGTCAAGTTGTAAAAAAATAAAATCCTTTGCGTGGTCAGCAATAGCGCTCAATCGCACGCCATTACTATCCAAGCCTGATATATATATATATATATATATATATATATATATATATATATATATATATATATATATATATATATATATATATATATATATATATATATATATATATATATATATATATATATATATATATATATATATATATATATATATATATATATATATATAGTATTGATTTAGTAAAATTTATAAAAAATATCAACACCTTAAAATATCATCAGATGCCAGACATTGACCCAATACAGATAATGCAGACTCAGCTAGTGAAATATTGTGATTGTTGATATCTGTCTGAATTAAATAAGTATATTTTATGTTATAAAAATAAATATGTGGCAATGTTACAGTGCTGGAACAACAGCACATTCATGTTAGTACTAAGCTAATCAAGGCTTGTACTTCGGAATTAAAGGGTTGAGAAAGGGTTGTAACAATGTAAGACTTTCCTAATTATGGTTACTAGTATAAACAAGACTAGAGTAAACAAAATATAAGGAAATACATGCTTCTACATTCCAAATAATGACTGGTCAGTAGTCTGTGCCAAAAAGATAAAAAACTACTCTCCAATTTAAGGACCCAAAAAGACTTTAAAAAGATTTAAAGTTAATTACGTTGATACTACTTTTTTACAATTTGAAAAATGAAAAACAATTAGTCACTACCCAATTCTATTTTATTGTCTAATTCACTGCCCAATAAATTTTACACTGTATAAATATAGACTAGTTTTAAAATTTCTTTTAAAACTCTCATAGTATAACCATTTTAGATATGTCAGGTAATACTTATATCTGAAATCACACAAAAAGGTTATTTTATTGGAAAGAGACAATTACTCCAAGTTAGTAAAGCTAAGTATATTTTTCTTTGGTGGAGTTATTAAAAACTTTAGATTTCTGCAGATTTATTGCAATGCATAGGACAAGATTCATGGCTCATGCATAATATATTTCTGCGGTGTAAACTCATGGTTGCCCAACGGTAATAGGTGACCAAATTTTGTGAAGGGCAACTAACAACTGAGAATTTTTAAAGAAACAAATTGTTTTTAAAAGACTAAATTAAATATGATTTTAAAGTTTTAAATTAAGTTTAGAAGGAACGTAAAATAGTAAAACGTTGAATGTAAAATTTAGTTTTAAACTAAATTACTTAAAACAAGTCTCTCCATCATAGATTATAAAACAAGTCTCTCCATTATAAATTCATTTCTTAAAACAAGTCTCTCCATCATAGAATATAATATGTGAAAGAAAATTAAAAATATTTTTTCAAGTGCTTTTGTTTAAGAGAATTCTTTTCACAAATATATTTAAAATTTTTGAAAGTTTCTTATTAATTTATTATTGTGTAAAGTTCTTATGACATAATACATTATCAACCCAAATAGATTTTTGCTCGAAGAATTCAAAAATACAACTCTTGACACTTATTAGCCTCAAAAAGTGCCACATTAAACTTTTTTTCAAAATTATTGACTTATAAGTTATTGATTTTTGGAGCTAAAATGGAGGCTGTCATCTGAAATCACTCGCAACTATGTTGATTCTATATCGCTACTTTATCTTAGGTCTACAAAAAAAATTAGAGATTCATACATTGCCTCTGTAATATTTGATTAAAGTAAGTACTGAAAAATAACTTTTTTTCAAAATTTACTTGAGTTTTGTAAAAAATTTTGTAACAAAGGATATTTTTTATTTGAAACTTTAATATAGTGTTATTTAATAACTAGTTTTGGAAATATTCATGGTCATGGGCATATAAAGGGGGCAAATAGGAGGAATAATCCCCCCCACCTCCCCAGATTTTTTTATTACGAAAAAATGAATTAATAGTGATAGTTTATTTCTAAAATAGGATTTAGAAAGACAATACAAATAAAATGTTTTTGAGTTTTTAAATTATTTTGTTTGTAGTTCAAACGTAGTAAATTGTTTTGTCACATTTGAATATATTTTTATTATTTATTTTAAATTGTTTAAGTGCCTAACACTTTAGAATACTTTTGTAATGAACACTAAGTTGTTTTGAAAAGTTTTAGTTAAGATTGTCTTTAAAAATCATATAGTATATGCATTAATTTTATTGTTTAGTTGTTCTTTTAGCTAATGATATTAAAAACAATAAATACATTGAATATGAAGAAATGTGACATTAGAAAAACTCTCAACATTAATTGCCACAAAACTTTTTTAAAAACAACGTTTTATTCAACTCAAAGATCTTTCTTGTGAACAGCAAGAAGAAATAATTTGGCGAGCAAATTCAAAAGAAAAATTTAATTCAATTAAAATTATATGCAGTCTTCTTCCATTTGACGAGCGCCTTTGCGCTTTTACAATTTTGCGCTCACCCACACACCCCGGTAATGCCAAGTTGGAAATTCTGCAGCAAATATTACAAAAAAGCAGTAGAAACTGATTTTAATTCACTGGAAGAATGGGGATCAAAAAGTGAGAAAAAGGTTAAGCTTGATACCTCTACAGAATTGATTGGGATTTCACCAGTTAAATTGAAAAGTGTTCCAAAACACTGCAAAATACCTGCAGCAAAACAAGTTCAGCGACACTATATACAGAGTTGCAAAAATGGTTTTATTAGCATATGATATTGATGAAGCTTCTTTAACAGCAGAAACAAACAGCACCATTTCTAACAATAAATTAAAGAAAGATCATGATCTAGACAATTTAATCTATGAAATCAAAAAGAAAATTTCTGTAACTGACTCTTATCTCCATAAAGTGAAAATGTTAACACTTGCACCAGTCATAGACACATAAAAAGATAACAAATTACTTTGAAGTGTCGGAGTATCTTGTTCAAACTTCAAGACATAATAAAAATGAGCAAGGGATCCTATTTTTACAAGGAAAAAAAATCGAAACTCTCTATTCCCAGAAACAGCCCTGTTAATAATTAACTTTTATCAAAATGATGAGTTTTCAAGAATTATAATTACATGTTTTAATTATTTTTACAAGAATTAATGAATTACATGTTTCATTTTAAAAAGGCTATCCTAATGTCAAGATCAGTTTGTCAAAGGTTTGTGCTTTGAAACCTAAGTGGTGCATTACAACTCATGCATCAGGTACACACAATTTATGTGTATGCATACATCATCAAGATACAAAATTTTTAATTGATGCAATTAGGTGGAATAAAAGTTATAAAGATTTTATGCGTTTAATTGTTTGTTCTCTCAAAAATGCAGAGTGCATGCTACACCGATGTAAGCTATGCCCTGGTATTGAAGCCATGATTTTATAGACCAAGAGCTAGAAGATCTAGTATTCGAGCAATGGTAGAGTACTGATCGTACAATACTACTGTTACAATCATTGCCACTATTAAGTTTAATGATTCTTTGCGTGACAGCATTGACAACCTTACCGCACATTCATTTATAGCAAAAACACTATGTAGATTCTTGATTTTATTTTAGGAGATTTTACTAAAAATTATCAATTTGTTGTTGAGGATGAAGTTCAAAGTTATCACTGGAGCAAAAATCAGTGTTCACTTTTCAAAATTGTAATCTATTTTTCAGAAAATCTTAATTATGACACAAGGTTTGTTTATAAGATTCAAGAAGATATAACTAAATATATCAAAGAAAATCTACCAGATGTATTATGTGTGAAGTAGTTTTTTGATAGCTGTGCTGCAAAATTTTTTAAAGTTTAAAAACTTTATCAATCTTTGTCATCACAGTAGAGACTTTGATTTAAATGCTGAACAAATGAACGTTGATTTTTTGCTACCAGCCATGGTAAATCCCCCTGTGATGGTATTGGTAGGTCTGTTAAAAGACTAGTTTGTTAAGAAAGTCTAAACAAATAACTAATGGGCATATTTAAGATGTTAATTTAATGTACTCTTTTTGTAAAACCAAACTAAATGGCATGTTTTAGGTTATTTTTAAAGGAGGAAATTGACTCAACTCAAGCAAATTTAGAAAAAAGATATCTAGATGATAGAACAGTTCCTGGTACAATGATGTATCAGGGTTTTATTTTTTTAAGTTCAAAAACAATAAGTTATAAAAAATAAGTGTCGATACACATACTGAAGTATTTGATATTGTTCCAAAAAACATGTTTATAAGATGAATTATGATGTATGTTTTTATGATAAATTTTGGTGGATAGGGATTGTCAGGATGTAAGTGAACTTGATATATTTAAGTCAGATTTATGCATCCACATGGACCAGACTTTTTTTGACCAATAAGTAATGATTAGTGCTGAGTGCTTAACTCCGAAGTTATATGCATAATTTCTACACCCACAACACTATTAGGTCACACATTTAACATATCTGATTTGAATTTAAACATAATATAAGTAGTTGGTTACAAAAAATAAATAAATGTTTTAAAACAATGTTGTTGTAATTTCTTAACACATTTTTAGTAATTTGGTAACTTTTTTTTTAATCCAGTGGGAGGCAGAGGGAGGGAGAGGGAGAAAGGTTGAAGGAGTAGTTGTACCTCCCCTTGCCCCCTTTATATGCTCATGACTAATATGTTCTAAACTAATTAATAAATAACAATATATTGAAGTTTGAATTTAAAAAATTGTTTTTAAAAATATTTTATTACTTTTGTTATAAAATTCAAGTTTTTCAAAAATCAGAAAAGATGTTATTTTTGCTTACTTTGATCAAATATTACAGAGACAATTCATGAATTTTTTTCAGTAATGATATACAATCAACATTTTTGCCAGTGATTTCAGGTGACAACCTCTTTTAGCTACAAAAATCAATAATTTTTAACCCAATAATTTTGAACAAAACTGGATAAACAAGGCATTTTTTGACACTATCAAGTCCTAAAAGTTGTCTTTTTGAATTCCTTAAACAAAAATCTAGTTTTAATCAAAATTTTAGGAAAATCCTCCAAACCATTATCAAGATGTTAAATGTTAAAGATGCTTTGTTTTCTCTTCAGATAACCAGAAAAATGTTGAATCAGCATTATTTTAACTGATGATACCTCAAAAACCTATGTATATTTTTAGCTGAAACTACAGCAGTTATTTATTTAATATAGACTGCAAATGATGTAAAAATAAAGCAATTTTGAGACATTATGGGTGACAATTTTTCTTTTTTTAAATGACTTGATATGGAATCACCCAACAAAATATTGTGATAATTAGCCTAGTATAAAAATTATATTGAATAATCAAAAATAGGAAAATTGTTTAATTGCTGGAATAAACATTGTTTTGAAACTTTAATAATATCTTCAGTTAAATTAAAAGTTGTTACTTTTTAAACAGTCTGAAGAATAAAAAAATACTGTTTAGTTAATGTAAGTTAATGATTTCTGGGGGAAACTTTATGATTGGTGGGGAAAAAAATTATAAAATATTTAATTATATAACTAAATTTTTAAATTAAATTTGTAAAACAAATTAAATTTAAAAATTATTAATTAATAACTATAACTGATGGTGATTGTAGTTTATATTTACCAATAATTTGTATAGTTATTTAATATAAGAAAGTGAAGTTTATGACACTTCAACATTGTTATTAACTGACATAAAAAATGGTAAGTTTAGCATCCTCATTAGTCATCTCTAACTCACGGGTCTGATCTTATTACCTCTCCCAAGTGTATGGCTAAATTATTTGCCTAGAACTTCTTCTCTAATTTGACTCTTGAACCTAATAACCATACACTTCCTGACAGTCCAATTAAACAGATTGACCCATTATTAGACATCATTTAGGCTTCCAATGATCAAGTCAATTCTCAATTGAATTCTTCTATGGCTTGTTTTCCAGACAAAATTCTTATCATTAATATTCTTATCATCAATCTTATCAAATGTGTTTTCAAAGAACTCAATTCTCCCTAAACTATATATAAATAAATGGTTGCGACTTTTTAAAAATCTAGAAAACACTCTGACCTCTCTATATGATTAGTCTTTCCTCTATTATTAGTTTTTTTATATAAAGTTTTTGAGGTTATGAAATCATTAACTGTTAATGATTTCATATTAATATTAAATATATAACTATATTAAATATAATAGTAGTGTAAACAAGAAGTTCTGAGTTTGACACCATGTTGCTGGTAGTACAGTGCTCAACTTATTTCTTCATACAGCAACCATGTGTGTCAGGGTTCATGTTTGGAAGTAAAAGAGTTGAAAGAAAGTTGTAATCAAAATAAGAAGCCTCCTCCACTGAAGTGCCCCTCTTGACTTATGGGGAAAAAAGCATTGAAAAAAAATTATTACTAACCGCAGTATTAAAGTCATCCTTAAAGACCAACTTCTTTATTTCTAGTAACTTTAGGGGTACTGCAAGGTTCTAACTTTGTTCATTGTTTCTTATTTACATTAACAATCTTTCTTTACAACTCAGATATTTTAAAACTCAACTTTAAAACTCAGATATTTACTCGAAAAAAAACAAATACCTCAGTTTTAAAATTGAGATTTCTATAACTGACAAATAGCAACCCTTTTACTCTCAGACAAGGTTATACAATGAATTGTAAATATAGCTAGGCCTGCTTTATGTACCAAGTTTGAGTAACTCTTTTATTGTTGTAAGGTTGTCTCTCTTTTCTACAAATATTATCATGATCGCTGCTCAAACGAGCTATTATCTCTAGTTCCACTAACAACTAGTCATTCAGCACCAGACTTCCACCAAGGACTTGTCAAATTTTTATTCTTCTAGTTTTTTTTCTCACACCATTTTTTAGTAACTCAATTTAATCATGGTTAATCAACTAATATAGTTTATATATATATATAATATATATATATATATATATATATATATATATATATATATATATAATATATATATATATATATATATATATATATATATATATATATATATATATATATATATATATATATATATATATATATATATATATATATATATATATATATATATATATATATATATATATATATATATATATATATATATATTAGGGTGGGTCATAAAAATTTTTTTTCTTGTTATAGGCTCTAAACATTGCTTGAAAGTTGTTTTTTTATGTACTAATTTAGGAAAGTATTTACTTTTATGGATTAAATAATGTCTTCGACCCGCAACTATAATTACAAAAATTAGCAGGCCCTATTATTATTGAAAAAAAAAGTTTCTCAAAATTATGTGATGTAGGTACTCAAAAAAAGTACTTAAAAATTATTAGTTTAAGTTTTATTGCATAATAACTATAGTTTTTTAACTAAAAGTGAAAAAGGTGCATTTTTACATGTTTTTTATTAATTTTTTTGAACAATATGATTTTTATAAAACGATTATTATTTTTGAATTTTTTATAAAATTTTGCTTCTTTTGAGTACCAGGTTGACCTACTTTTGAAAAACTTTTTTTCTCCAAAATATTAGGGTACAGGTAATTTTCCCAATAAAGTTGCGACCTTTAAATCACAATCATTCTCATATTTGATAGTATCAATATTAATAACTATTAGCAATGTTTAGAGCCTGTAACAAGAAAAAAAAATTTTTTGACCCACCCTAATATATATATATATATATATATATATATATATATATATATATATATATATATATATATATATATATATATATATATATATATATATATATATATATATATATATATATATATATATCATGGGCTATTATAGACTGTTTTCGATAGCGACAACCGTATTTGGGCGCCACCTACATAAAAAATTGAGGACTTTTTTATTTTAATTTTTTTTTTACATTTCTATGGCAAATATTGTTTTTCCAAAAAAAATGCTAATTTTCTGCAAAAATTCACCAGAACGAGGGGGTATTATTGCCCAAACTTTTCCTAGAATAGACCCTGTAAATATATATATATATATATATATATATATATATATATATATATATATATATATATATATATATATATATATATATATATATATATATATATATATATATTATATATATATATATATATATATATATATATATATATAGAGAGAGAGAGAGAGAGAGAGAGAGATAGGTATATATAGATATATGTATGCCAGTATTTAATAAATAGTAAATATAAGTAAAAATTTATATTATATAATGATGTAATAAAAATTTAAAAAAATATTTATTTTTTTTTATATTTAGCTTGTTAACCACTATCGAAAAAAGCTTCTTATTTTAAGAAGAACATAATTTGAATAAAAAAATTATAGGAAAGTACTATTTCAGGCAACTTGGTTTATTTAATAATAGTTTCTGACTTTAATCAAGAAAAAAAGTCATAGTAAACTTTGATTAAAATAAATAAACAGCAAAAAAAAAACACATGAAAAAAAAGTTGCATGAAAAAAAAAAATGGCAAAAAGAAGTATTGCATAAGTAAGGTCATTTCTAAGAACCTTATTAAACTTTAGTAAGGTCATTTCTAAGAACCTTATTAAACTTTAGTAAGATCATTTCTAAAAACCTTATCTACTTTTAAAAAAAAAAAATTAACATAAACATTAAAAACCTATTATGTTTCCAAAATAAGATTTTTTTTAAAAAAAAAAAAAAAAAAGAAGCCAAATAACTTTTAAAAATAAAGATTTAAATTAAAAACGAATTTTTAGTACTTTATTACTTTTAAATTTTTAGTACAAAATTTCACTTTTTTTTGAAATTTTGTACTAAAAATTACAACTCTACATTTCATTCCTGTACAATTTAATAAAATTTAATTTAAAAAACAGTAGTTTAACTATAAAATGAGACTGGGTCAGAAAAGTCAGTTTGGAAAACAAATTGTTGTAAAAAATGTAATAATATGCATAGTAACAAGTAAAACATCTTTATCAATAGTTTTCTAATTTAGAAATTATTTTTAAAATTAGAGATAGAGACTCAAATTCATAAATAAAAAAAATTATTTTCAACAAACCTGAAGAACAGATAATAGTTTGTTAACATGGTTTTTCAATAAAACTGTTAAAGTATCTTTTTCTTTTTGAAAGTAGCTTAAAAAAACACATTTTTTACTAAAAACAAATATTCTGTATAAAATATATCAACTTAAAATACAGTAAAAATAAAAAGATAAATATTTTACTATATTACATATATATAGTACTTGGGTTTTGCTGTTAAAGACATTGTGCATAACATTTTTAGAGTTTTTTTTCTTTCTATTCTTCCTTAAAATATTGATATTACACAAATTTGGAGAAGTTTGACGCATCTTAATTTAAAGCATTACACATATTATGCCCGAAGTTGCATTTTACACACATGTATGCTGCTATGGTTATGCTAAAAACATTTTGGTTCAATAACATTTAAAGTCTTAAAATATCAATTGAACAATTAAATAAATTAAGTAATGAGAAAAGCAGTTTCTTCTATTACCAGGTTAGTAGCTTCTTTCTAACATCAGGTACAGGATGGTCCTAAAGTCCTTTCTGATTCAAGAAATATATTTGTAAACATTTATTTGATTTTTTTTTAGACATTGAACCTGGGAGATAAAATATCAGGCTTGGACAGGAATGGCGTGCGATCGCACTCTGTAACTGACCACGCTAATATTTTTATTTCTTTACAACTTCACCACGGCTATTTTGATGTTTTTACAATTTAAATGCAATAAAAAAAGTGTTACGTTATAAATACCTTTTAATCGTTGATCTTTTCTAAAGTTTTTTATTTTACGCAAAGGCTTTAAATAAAACCATAAAATTAATTATAGTTATTGTTTACATAAACACTTGTGTAATTAATAAAAAACGTTATAAATAAGTTTTTTTTATGTAGACATTTATTTTTTATGATAAATTTAAACGTTTGAAACTATTTTCTTATGTCTTCCTAATACATTTTTAAACCATTATTTTTAGAAAGAATTTTTTTAAGTTACTTTAATTTATGAATAAGTTCAAAAGCTTTTGTGACTACTAACTTTTACACATTTTATGTGAATTACACAAGAATATAAAATAACTTTATTTACTTATATAAGCATGTATTTTGTTGATTTAATGAAAAAGTTTTAAAGCATTTTGTAATGTTCATACAATTAATTTTTATGATTAAACTTACGATTTATAAAAATGTTTGAAATTAACATTTTATTTTTTGTAAACAATTTTTTTTTTTTTTTCAATTTCGTTAGAAATGAGTTTAAATCTTTTATAATAATTTTTAAATTCGTTACGTGAAGCGCTAGTTAATAAAGTTGTAATGCTCAAATTAAAATTAAATTAAAAAGCTTGTTGGTAGTTAATTTATTTAAATCGCAGGCGCATTTTATTTATTTATTTATTTTGATTCTATTTTTACGAATAAAAAAGTTCAAAACCTTTTTTTTAATTAGACTCACTAATTAGAGCATGAAATTAGTAAAAATTACTATTTAAAAAGACTACGCTATTTTTTCAAACAATTATTTTTTTTGCTACTTTTTTGACAAAATAAATGTTTATACAATTTAAAAATATTATATAAAACACTTTTTAATAAATTTAATACAATTTGTTCTTTTATTAAACCAATCATTAGTAGTAATTTGTTACTTAATTTAAAAACATTTTGCGTAACTTTAATAACACTTAAAAAGATAAGTTTTAATAACGTTTCTTTCATACGTAATTAAAAATGTAACTTATAGTTTCGCTTCGAGTTTAAGTTTTTATTTTCATTTTAGAGCTTATATTATTTCTTTTTCGTTATGAATTTGTTTTTCGTTTCTTTTTTCGTTAGGATTTTTTTTTTCATTAATTTTTTTTTATTTTTTTCCTAGTTTAAGTTTAGCTTAGCGCTTCAACATTCAGAACATTTCTAAAATTTTAAAACATATACATTAATTATTAAACAATCGTGGTCAAGTTGTCAAAAAATTAAATCATTTGCGTGGTCATCTATAGCGCTCAATCGCACGCCATTCCTGTCCAAGCCTGAAATATGGTACCTTATACTACTGTAGAACAATCGAAACTGAACTAATTGTTTTTGGAAAATAGACAATTAATGATTGCCACCTACAGACATATCAGACATATCTCTTTGTGCTATGTTGATCAATATGAGCTATATGGGAGTATTGAAGTTATCAGGAGTTTGGGCAGACCTCATAATGGACAATCAACTGAAATCGTTAAGCTGGTTACGCAAAGTGTGTCAGATAACAGAAAAACATCGACAAAAAGATGTTCAACACAGTTAACTGTATCACAAAGCACATTTGACTTATTGATCTGACTTATGAAAATATTTGACTTATCGAGATTTCAAGACTTACCCTAGAAAATTCAGTTGGTTCACTAGTTCCATCGTGATGACCTGGTATTATATTTGGAGTATTGCAGAGCTTTCAAAAATCTTGCAGAGAATGACCAACAATTTTTAGATCATTTAATGATGTCTAATGAAGCCCAGTTTTAATTAAACAGATTTGTAAACAAGCAAAACTGGAGATATTGGTGAACTCATAATCTCACAAATATCCACTAACATTCATTATGTCATACCAAACACTTATACAAGTGTTTGTTGAGGCATAACGCCACAGAAGATTTACGAAACATATTTTTTTAAGATGATGCTGGTGAAAATATAACAATAAATAGAGATTGCTACAGAATAATGCTTCAGGACTTTTTGTTCCTCTTTAGCAAGCTAAAAACAACAATATATGCCAATAACAACACCAATATATGGTATTTCAACAAGATAGTGCACAGTCCACACCCCTTTTGAGATAATGAACTTGCTAATCTTATCATTTTATAAAATAGTGACTTGAAATGTCTGCCAAGATCACATGATCTGACAGCTCTAAACTATTTTCTGTGGGGGAATCTAAAGGATAAAGTCAATACTAACAAGCAAATGATTTTACAGATGAAAAAAAAAACCCACTGCAATAAGTGATGCAAATGTAATGAAGAGGGCCAATGTGTGCATTAATTCTAATGGTAGATACTTAACCAATATCATTTTCAAAACCTTACATTAAAAACTTCCATTAAATATAATTTTAACTGTAATTTATTTTACTGTTTTTCATCAATTTATTCAAAAGTTATTGTATTAATAAATAGGAAAGTGATCAATTTACTTACCTAATTTATAAAAAAATTTTAATAAAAAAATTATAAAAGATGGCATAATACCCCAACTTTCCATAAGTGTGGTAACAACCATAAGGTAGCAAAAACTTAAAATAAAAAAATTATAAAAGATGGCGTAATACCCCAATTTTCCATAAGGTAACAAAAAACTTTTTAATAATATTGCAATGTAAAACAATTTTTTATAAAAAGGTGTTTTCCATTATCTTAATAATCACTAAAACTTCAGACAATCCTTGAGAACGAATTATATAATAAAAAATAAATATAATACATAATTTGAATATAAAAAATAATGCCTTTCACACACTTGATTGACTTAATTTAGGCATGCTATTTACTAAATTTTGTTAAGCAATCAAAATTATTTAAAGCTTTTTTTCTCCAGCTTATTTCATCTTGCTGGAAATTTCATTTAAAAGTGTTTTAAACTTTTTAAACTTTAGCATCAAAAATTTGAACAAATTAGACATAAAAATTGTTTAAATAACACACATTTAAATGCATAAAAAGTAATAATAAACGCTTAACTAAATAAATCACAACAAAATTGTTGGTAATATAATAACCTTTTCATGGTTTATATTTTATATATATAAAAATTTTATATTTAAAGTTTTTTAAACAAAACCAAAGATTTGCATGTTTTTACTCATTTAGTATTTGTAGACAATAAACATCTAATTGTATTAAATATAAAGTAACATTGTTTTACATTTAATAAACAAAGCAAAAATTCTATGGAAACAGCATTGTTTTCTGCTATTCTCTTATATTTCAAATAAATACTTACACTTATTATATAATTATTGTGAATATATATATGAAATTTAAGAGATTTCTTTCCTTTAAGAAAATAGCAGTGTTATTTTTGATACACTCATTACGAGTGACTCATAAGATAAAACTTATAATTTTAATAATTTGAACAATTTTAAATTTAATCAATGATATTTTGGTTTTTACTATTATAATTATCAGTGGGAAAAAAAAATTATCACAATATAGAATTTGCAATTAAATAAACTTATAAAAAAACTAATGAACAAAAATATAAAGTACCTAAAAAGAGCCAAATAAGCATCTACTTTTTGACTGACATCTGTTGTACTGCTACATAATTTCTTTATTAAACTCTTGATTGATGTATGAACTGCATCTCCCATTTTTATTTTATTTTTATTCTAAAAATAACCCAAAACTTGTCGGTACTCATAAAACTTTTGTTTTTTATTGTTAAACAAGGTGTTAGATTAACTTTAAATAATAAATAATAAATCATTTGGTCTTTAATGATTAACTTAATAAATTTAAAAAATTTTGTAAAATTTATCAGAAAAAATATATATATATAAAAATTAAGAGACTTGATAATTCGTTATATTACTTGATAATATCGTTCATTTAATAAATAACATCATTCAGTACCCATCCAAAATTGAAGACAAGACAAGACAACCAAATTTCAGAGGTTTATTTTATTACTAAAATTACATATTTTTGTAGCATAGTTTTAAAAATAAAAGTACTGATATATTTTAATACAAGTACTGATATATTTCAATACGTTATTCAATACCTACTAAAAGTTTACTATTTTTATGTGAAGCAAAAGCATGTTTAGCTTAAAAAAATTTTTTAATAAATTTTTTAATGAGCTTCTTTATTTGTATAAATTCGAATTATCATTGGGAATCAAATTTTCAACATTAATTTTAGTAAAAAACTGTATTTGAGATCTTATAAAACACTCATTCCCGCCATAAGCATTCTGTTCTTGCGCACTTTTTACGGAAGGCTTAACATCAGACAAAAAAAAATACTGTAGTTAAGGTGCTTTTTAAGAAATTGCCGTCAGACAGTTATTAAAAATAGATTCGATATATTTATATTGGCCGACTTAACATATATAATCATAACCTCTCCGTAGCTTTCAACTACTACACCTTCAATGAAGCAGAAATTGAACAAGAATTAAAACAAACATGCGAAAAAATCCAAAATACTGCTTTGTTAGCAGTTAAGCAGTGCTTTAAACAACAAATCTGTAAGTATTCCAAATCATGGTGGACAACGGACCTTAAAAAATGCAAAGAAAATCTTTCATTTAACTATAGACAATGGCAAAAATCTAATTATAATAAAACACAAGAATGCATTGAATACAAAAGATACATCTTTTCACGCAAAAACTTCCGTAAAGCAGTTAAAGCAGCTCATAACAAAAAGATCCACGAAAAAACTATAAATATTGAAAATCTTCGAACCACTAATCCTCAGAGGTTCTGGGATAACATCCGTAAAATCAAAACTAAAGCAACAACTCGATTATTTACAATTTACAAACCGCAAAATATAAAAGATATCGTTCAAGAATTTAGGCAACATTTTCAAACTCTTCTCAACGCCTCTTATTTCAAATTATAACCATAATCCTTCTCAAGTTCCACCTCTAAGTA